TTCAGCCTTTTCCTTTATTAATCCGAAGATTCCTGTTTACAAAATTTCTTCTGTTTAAATTTTTTGTTAACTGATAAAACTTTTTCAACAAATAAATTAACTACATATAATTTTTAAAGGAAAAAAGTAAAGTTTTCTTAAGCACATTTCCGCAGTTTAAATAATTATTCTCTTAGCTCGCGGTGGCTTCAATCTTAATAATTTACTAAAACTAAAAGCTTTTGTGTTATTGGTTGTTTTTTCAAATACCAGAACTAAAAAAGTTTATATCGAACTATGACGATCCTTACCGCTTACTCATTGTCGAACCTTGATCTTAAACCATTGCAGTTTTAACCCACATGTTTTACCTGCTTTTTTAACACTTTAGTCTAATCTGATTAGTACATATCTTATTTGCTTTTTCAAGTCTTTAGCTTTCACAAAATATCAGTTCCTAGTTCACAAAATTCGAATTTGTTTACCCTAGATTTATTCAAATCCGAAATTACTTTATTAAAACCTAAACCCAACTTGTAGAGCTTTTTGTTTTTTTTTGTACAATTGTATCCTTAGCTGTTTGTACTTTTAAGCTGATTAGGTCTTTTGTACCTTTTTGGCTAGTAAGGCCTTTTGAAAATTTGGACTGTTTAGGCCTTTTGAAAATTTGGAATGTTTCGACCTTTTGAAAATTTGGACTGTTTAGGCCTTTTGAAAATTTGGAATGTTTCGACCTTTTGAAAATTTGGACTGTTTCGACCTTTTGAAAATTTGAACTGTTTAGGCCTTTTGTACACCGTTGTTTGTGTACCATTTTGTCTGGGCACTCGTTGTTTACATTTAAAGTAAGGTTGATGCGAGGTAAATAAGGTAATCAGAATTAGAGAAGTATTTTTTTGTTTTTTTTTTCTTGGCCAAAATAGAGATAAATTTTTTGTTTACTCTTATCCTTAATTATTCAATTCAATTCAATTTATACGCATAAAAACGTGACATTCAGATAAAATAAATAAAAATGTATCAATTGTTTTATATAAGGTCTGGAGGCAATTGAATGGAAAGTGGCTTTGATAAAACATTGTTTAAGTTAATATTGTTTAGGAGCTTTGGAAACAATTCGATTGACGATTTTTGTAATTCTGTTGGGAGTTTTCTGTAAATGTTTGGGATGTCTATAAAGAATGAGTTTTTCCGAATGGTGCTTGAACAAAAGGGTATAAATAAATTATGCGGGTTACCTCTAGTAGTGGTAGGGAGAATGCTGAATGAATTATCATGTTTTAATTTAATTTTGCCTGAGATAATATTATGGAAAAGGATAAGATTTGATTTTAAACGTCTGTGCGATAGAGATTCAAGTTTAAACAGGTCAAGGAGTTCTTTATAATTAGGTAATGTTGGGCTGTTATTGTGTTTCATAGAGCGTAAGTATAATATTTTTAAGAATTTATGTTGAACATTTTCTAAAGAGTTTATATCTTTATTTAAATAAGGGTTAATTATAGGAGATCCGAATTCGAGGATAGGTAAGACGTATATTTTGAATAAAGTAGTTAGGAATTGAGTGTTATTAGTTTTAAGAGATCTTATAAGAGTATAATAAATTCCAGTTGCTTTATTTGTTATTATTTTAATGTGAGAATCCCATTTTAAGTTTGATGTAAAATAAATGCCTAGATCACGAATAGGTTCGTTGGGTGGAATGATTGGTATATTTATGTTTTGTAGAGAGTATTGGTGGAAGGGATTTTTAGTTCCTATGTGGAGTGAGCTACATTTGCTGATAGCGATTTTAAGGCCATTTATTTCGCAGTATTTTGAGAATTTTTGGATAAATGTTTGGAGTGGAGAATAGTGGTTTTTATTTGGAAAATCAAAGCAGGTATAGGCCTTTAAATCGTCAGCAAATAATTTGGGTGTAACATTATCTGTCTTACAGAAATCTATTATATCAAATATATATGAGATGAATAAAATAGGGCCGAGGATTGATCCTTGAGGAACTCCACTTGTTATATGATATTCATTAGAATTTTCAGATTCGACAAGAACAGAAAGAGTTCGGTCTATTAAATAATCGTCAATCCAATTTAGTAATGCGCCAGTGATACCTAGATGATATAGTTTTTTCAGAAGGCGATCGTGGGGGACAGTATCAAACGCTTTTGCCAGGTCGAAGAATATAACGTCAACACATTTTTTATTTTCGATAGCTAATGTGTAGTCATTATAGGTTTCTAGGAGTTGAGTTATAACTGAGTGGTTTTTACGAAACCCATGTTGGCAAGCAGGAAGGTAATTATTCGATTCAAGAAATGAAGTTAATTTATTTGAAATAATTCGTTCCAAAATTTTAGAGGTTGAACATAAGAGAGAGATAGGTCGAAAATCTTTAGGTTCGTTAGGATTATTATTTTTAGGAATAGGTCGGATTATTGACTTTTTCCATATAGATGGAATTTTACTTGTCATGATTGACATGTTAAACATAATTGTTAATGGAGTGGTTAATGAGACTGCGGTGTTTTTTAAGAAAATGTTGGGAATGCCGTCCGGTGATATGTTATTAACATTGTCGAGTTTGTTTATAGTGCTATAGATTTCCTCTGGATTGATATCAATAAAGGATAATGTGTTTTTGTTTGGATTGTTTATATCAGAGGAATCAAAGTTAGAAGAGTTAAAGACAGACTTGAATTGTATTGCAAGACATTCGGCTTTATCTTTGTCTGAAATGGTAAGTCTATCATTAATGTTGAATATTGGAATTTTGGATTTTTTGGATTTAAGGAAAGCCCCTATATACTGAAATCTAGATCGTGAATCATTGAATTTTGAGATTTCTCTATTTTTAAAGAAACGAGAAATTTCTTTATCAATTTTTTGTTGTGTGAGAATATATTTTTCACGTATAGCAGGTTTATTAATATTTTTCCATAAAAGATTTTTATATGAGATAATTTTTTGAATATGTTTTGGGAATCTAGTAAGGTCTTTATTGATCTTTTTTAACGGTATGAAATTTCGGATTGTTTGGTGAATGATTTCTAAAAATAGGGTATATTGGGAGTCTACATCAGTGCAATTTAAAAACAAGGTATTCCAGTTTAAACCAATTAGGATATTGTTAATTTGATTGTAATCGGCATTATGAAAGTCAAGTATAAATTCTGGTTTTTTGGGAAAATATTTAAAATTTAAGTTAAATTCAATGGTGTTATGGTCAGAATTTTTAAAGGGGGCATTAATGGTAATATTTTTTACAACGCGAAAGGCGGAAGAGGAAAAAAGTAAATCGAGATAGTTATCTTGTCTGGTTGGGGAAGAGATTTCTTGAAATAGATTATAGCTTTCTATAAATTCGATAAATAATTTTTCAGAAGGTGATTTGTGGTTGAGAGCGAGTGGTATGTTGGTCTTCCAGATTAGATTAGGGAAATTAAAGTCACCTACGATTATGTAGTTATGATTAATAGATATTAAATAACTTAATGTATCAAGAAGTTCATGGAAGTCTTTAAAATTTTCGTTTGTGGTAGGACGGTATACGGTTATTATTCGAAATTTGTCAAATTTGGGGGAGTAAATGTCTATGGCAACAATGTCGGAATTTTTATTTTTAGGAATTTTAACGGGAGAGAAGGGAATTATATTATCTACTAAAATACAAGCACCACCGCCCCTAGAACTTCTATCGCATCTGACAATGGAATAAGGTGAAGTATGTAAAATTTGGGAATTATCGATCTTTTTGTTCAACCACGATTCGGAAATACAAATTATTTTAAAGGACTTGGAAAGTAAAAGTAATCTTAAAGCATCTAATTTGTTAACCAAGCTCCTACTATTAAAATATAGACATTTATAAAAAGGGGAAATATTTAAAGAGTTTTTTAAAACCTTGAATCTTGGACGACCTCTTAATGGTTTTTTGTTCTTTCAGTCACATTTGCACTCGTTCTTTTATTGTATTCATCTCGTTTCTTAGCACGTTCAATTCTTTCAGCTTCCAATTGTTCTCTAGTAAGACTTGGCCTGATCAACAAACGAGACCATTTTGATTCTTTTTTCATTTCCACTCTGTGTCGTTTCCATTCAGCAAGTGAAATTCGCTGAAACTTTGAAGCGCCAAAAACAATTTTTATTAAACGACAACCTTTAGCAGTTGGGTCATGCTTACCCATTCTGTACGAAACGAATGGGCTCTCAACCCCCAACAAGTTGAGTACATCTTCGATTGCAGACTTGTCTTCAGCAACACGAATTGATGGCGTTGTTGATTTAGATTCTTGTAGTCCAATAATAACAATAGAACGATTGCGTTCTTGTTCGCTTGCTGATGATTCATTGTTTTTAAAATTTGTTTCAATTGTTGTTTCAACTGTTTGAATTTTTGATTCAATTGTTGTTAAAGCATTTTTGATTTGAAGAATTTCATTAGAGAAAGAGGAAAATTTTATGTTGTTATTATCGATTTTTGATTCTAAGGCAGCCAATTTGTCCATTACTTGTTGTAATTCAGATTTTGCGGGTGCCATTTCGGCGTATTGATTTTTTATCTGAAATCTTTTTCTCAACTTGGGTAATTAAAACCTTATTCTCATATTTTCGTTTCAAAAATTATTGCCTTTTCTTCTTTAAAAAAGTCCTTTGAAAAATCGATAAACAAAGTCTCCCAAAACTCATTTAAAGGGAAAAGGGATATACGGTGTGAACCGCTTGATACTGAATCGTCCTTTACCGATTAATTTCTTATTATGAGAGAGTGTGTGAAATTGAGAGATTTACTCTAACTTTATTCTTGTCTCCACATTTGACCATTAACATATTTTGCCAATAAGGGGTAAAACTCGCATTTTGTCATTGAGGCTTGTTGGCAAAACGTAAATTTTAAGCCTTATTGGCAAAATGTGTTTTTGGTCAAATATGAGGGGGCCTTTTATTTTCCTTTGTTTAAAATTTTTTTCGTTAAATTTTTTTGGATTTTTTATAGAAAATTAAAAAAAATTTTTTTTTATTAAATGGCCAATCCATTAGCAAAACTTACCATTAGTGACAAAGTTAATGAGGTTCTTTTCCCCTATTTTTTTCCAAATTAAATTTTAATTTGAAGGGACGTAAACGTATGTTGACCTGTTTGGCTAAGAAAGGAGCCGAGGAAGACCACGTTAATTTGTTGGAATTGCAAAAACAATATTTTGTTGACTTTGAGACTTATTTGAATAAAGATGTTGGGTTTTGAATTTGATTTTTAAATTAGCTGCCCTAGCCTCTTAAAAATCGATATTTTCATAGCAGAGCTAGTGGTCGGCAAAATCGCCTTTCTTGGATCCCGAGTTGATATTTTTTTCTTAACTAAAGCCGAGACGGGATCCCGAGTGATAAATCCTGAAAAGACCTCGAATTTCGTAAATCCGGGATTTCGTGATCCCGGAAAATCCCGTCGGGATCCCGTCCCACGCCGGTCTCTAATCAGAGCTAAAGAGGTGCAACTTGTGCCTTTTGGGTTTCTGATTTTTTCTGCTTTTCTCAGTTTTATTCTATTTCCCTGTGGCATTCAATCAGTCAATAAGGGATTAGTAAAGGGGAGTTAATGCCAAACCTCTTTTTAGATACCGACTTGGTATTTTCTTCCCTCTAATTTTGGAGGGAATTAGAAAGGAAATTTAAAAGAGACATGCACTAGAGTTGGGTCGGAATTCCGATTTCCAACATTTTTTCCTTCCTTCAGATTTCCGAAAAAAATTTTGATTTCCGAGTTCCGACTTTTTAGCCAGTTCCGATTTCCGGCTCTTCCGATTACCAACACCTCTGACTGTTCCGATCCACCTCTGATACACACAAAGTTCGAAATTCCGTCTTAAATTTTTAATAAACTTTTTTTTGGGTTTTCAGTGTATTTACTAAATTTAACTTAAAATTAAGGAACTTCGCCGTTTCTTCAGCAAAACACACATTAAACAAGTTTTTGAAAGTTTTATGCCTAAAGACATTGAAATGTTTGTTTGAAGATTTTTTTCATTCAAAATTTCTTTTTTAGGACCACAGATGTTGAACAAACTGGATCTCTTTATTTAAAAATGAAGCGGCCTTTGGAAGGTTTTTTTAAAAAATTTTTGGGGTCACTTTAGTACGTGGGTGCAGGCTTTAAATTACAAATGTTATATCATTTGAAAGAGCTAGTCGAGCTGAGTCGAATGCCACCAAAATTAGGTCTAGGAAAAATTTTTGAACCGAGATACAGGCGATTGAAAATCGAAAAACCAAAGGGGGGACCAAGCTGATTTTTGGGGTCAAAAATTCGATTATACAAATGATACCTCATTCGAAAGAGCTCCTCGAGCTGAGTCGAATGACACCAAAATCAACGGAATCCGACTTGATTGGACAAAGTTATGATCTTTTATTTTAGCTCCTTACCTATGGCGTCTGTTGAGATTTTTGCTGCTACGGAAGTCCCAAATACGTCCAGAGCAATGGATTTAGGAATAGGTTTATGATACGAGCCCAGACCCAGCGCCCGTAGACTCCCCGCGAGGCGCGTGCCGCAAAACCCCGCGCGAAGCGCGGGGTTTTGCACAAGCGCCTCGCCGACGCTCCATAGGTTTAGGTTTTTGTTTTTTGTGTCATAACTTTGTCTAATCTTGTTCAATCACGGTGATTTTGGTGTCATTTTACTCAGCTCGTCGAGCTCTTTCGAATGAGGTATTATTTGTATAAAAAATTTTTTATTCCAAAAATCGCCCTTTTAGATCTTCGATTTTTAGGGGTCTATATCTCGGTCCATTCAAGTTGGATTTCGTTGATTTTGGTATCATTCGACTCAGCTCGACGAGCTCTTTCGAATGAGTTATAATTTGCATTTTCGAATTTTTCACCCCAAAAATCAGCTTGGTCCCCCCTTTGGTTTTTCGATTTTCAATCGCCTGTATCTCGGTTCAAAAATTTTTCCTAGACCTAATTTTGGTGGCATTCGACTCAGCTCGACTAGCTCTTTCAAATGATATAACATTTGTAATTTAAAGCTTGCACCCACGTACTAAAGTGACCCCAAAAATTTTTTAAAAATTTAATTAAATTTTTCAGTTGCGTTGGCAGACAATCCATTAGCTCCGAGACGTTCAGCTCTTTCCAAAAATGATGTTAGGGTTTAAATTTCTCTTTTTTATTTTGCCGTCTAACAAATCACGTGCTGAACCTTTGGGTTTTCAGTAAAAATTGATTCAAAAAAATTTTTGTGAAAATCCTTTAACGGCTCACTTTTCATTTTTTCTGTTAGGGTTGTCGGTTTCACCAAGTTTTTCGGTTAACCGCGTCGAAAATCTCCGGTTTTCCGTTTCGAGTTGAAACCGACAACCCTATTCTCTGTTTTCGAAGAGGAATGTTAGGATTTCCCTCTTTTTCCTTTTATCTGCGATAAAACGGTAAATGGGACTCGGGACCTTTTTGTTTCAGTTTTCTCTCATTTTCCCTTTTTAACTTTTGTTTCTTCATATTCTGCTCAATTTCCTTTATCTTATAAATTTACAATTTCAGACAAAAACGCTCAATTTGGTTCCTTTACCAGCCACAAAATTCGAATCCAATGCTCGTCAAGAAAAAAAATTTTCTGGAGGGATTTGGGATGAGCCTTCGCTTGAAAAAGAAGTTAAAGGGAACGAGACTTTTTTGGTTTATTTTTAACTAAAATTTTTTTTACCATTTTTACATTCAGAAAAACCCAACCTCAAAAACTTCAAAGCCCTCACAAAACATTGCTGAAGATTTGTACTCGGATGAGGAACTTGAAACGGGATTGGAAAATAAGGAGGAGGATGAAGATTCTGATTATTTTGGGGATGAGGCACTCGAAGAAGGAAATCGGTTACTTTCTAGTACGGCTGCAAAGGATGTGATGAAAGATGAAACGAGGAAAAATGTATAAAGTTTTTTAATTTTTTAATAAAAAATTTTGGTAATATTGAACCTGACAAACCCCATATTTTCCTCCCCAAGTTTTTTCCTTCATATCTACAGAATAGTCAGACTTCTTCCTCTCATTTCAATTGATTTTCTATATTTTGCTAACAAAAATCAAAAAAATTAATTTTTATCCCCCTTGGATGGAAGGAAAGAAAATTGGAATAGAAGAAAGGAGGAAGTCTTACCATTCTACAAATATAAAGGAAAAAACTTGGGGAGGAAAAAATGGGGTCTGTCAGGTTCAATATTACCAAAATTTATGGGTAAAAAATTTTTTGGAGGTATAGGACTTGGGCTAAAATTCATTTTCGATTTTTTGAAATTAATAATTTCATGGAATTTGGGGAATTATTGAAAATTTTGTTGAATTTGGGTGGCCTTTATTTGAAAATTTTAATTAGTGAAATTTCTTCCACAAAATAATCATTCCTTCGAGTTTACGAAAATTAAAAAGTCCAAGAAATTTTTGGGAGTATTTTGTTTATATTTTTCACCATAAAATCGCAAATGCGTTTAGGATGTTTTGGCATGAGAAAAAAATTAGGGATTCGTTTGGATGGATCAGTTAAAAATTTGGCCAGTAAGCCAAATTTATTTTATTGAAAAAATCCCTATTGAAAATGTTTTTGGCTTTTGTGTCTAGTTTTCGATATTTCTTTGGTCGGGTTCCGTGTCAAAAAAATAATTTTCAAAAATCCCAAAAAATTTTCTTTTAAAATTTTCAGCCAACCTCAATCGGTATTCGTACATCTTGTCATGCCGACAAATATATTTTGGAGCTTCAAAAGCGTAAAAATGCTTTTTCTTCAACTCTATTAGATTTAGACAAGGAAAACTCCAAACAGCAACAACAAGTTAGTTTTGACAATTTTGATTTGGAAAAGAAGAGAATAACCGAAAATGCTCGTGCCCGTTTATTAGAATTCAAAAAATCGGAACAACAAAAATTAAAAAATCGTCTAGAGCAAAAACAGCCAATATTGAGTGGAGGTTTTGGGGCAAAAAAAATTAGGGCAAATCAATTAAATCGAAATAATTTGTTGAGTAGTGACGACGAAACGGCGGATATTGAAGAAATTGGACAAAATGAGGGGGAAGGTGGGGGAGGGGAAGAAGATTTTGAGGAAGAAGAAGAAGTGAATAATAATGAGGAGGAGGAAGATGGACCTGTTATTATTATGTCACGTCCAGATGATGAAAAGGAAGGGGTAAATAAATTTGGGGGAGGAGAGAAGAAGAATAGTCCAGACGATGATTTGATTAATGATTATGTGGCTGATGAACAATATTATAGAGAGTTTGTTTTGGATTTTTTAATTTTTAATTTTTTGAAAAAAAAATTTTTGGGGGATTTTTGATTGAAAGAAATTTTTTTTAACAGGGGAAAAATATTTTTAAATTAAAAAGGAAATTTTTTAATTAAAAAGAAATTTTTGAAAAAAAATTTTTTTATATCAGAAATATTTTTTATCCACTTAAAAAATTATTTCAATAATACAAAAAAATTTTTGGGGATTTTTATTTTACGAAATTTTTTGACTGAAGAAAAATAATTTTTTTGTCTTAAAAAATATTTTTTGTTTAAAAAGAATTTTTGAAAAAAATTAAAAAAGTTTTTTGATCATTAAAAATATTTTTTCACTCATTAAAAAATTATTTTAAAACGGAGAAAAATTTTTTTTAGAAAAAATTTTTTTTTAATTTTTAAAATATTTTTTTTAATAATATTTTTTTAACTAAAAAGAATTTTTGAACAAGAAAAAATTTTTTTCTGATTTTTAAACTAAATTTAAAAATTTAAAAAAAATTATTCCTAAAATTTTAATTTATTTTTTACATATTTATAGGACAAAACCCTTTGGAAATAATAATAATATTAATGGAAATATTTTTAATAATAATGTTGGCAATCCAAAGAAGGATGCAAATTGCGAAAAAGTTTTTTCTTAATTTTAATTTTTTTTATATTTTTTTACAATTTTAAGCAAGAAATGACAGAATATATGCGCTTGGAAATGATTGCGATGACTACAATTTTGGTTCGATTGAATGTTGCTATTAAAGTTTGTTTTTAATTTTTATATGTGGTAGGGTAAAAATTAATTGTAAAAAAAGTTTGGAATTACAAATTGTAAAAGAAATATAAAAATAAACTTGAATTGTAAAAATAAACTTAAAATACAAGATAAAAGAAACAAAACTTGAATTGTAAAGCAAGAATTGTAAAAATATATAAAAATAAACTTGTTTTACAAAAATAAACTTGGAATCTAGGAAAAATAAACTTGAGTTGTAAAAGAAATTAAATTAGATTACAAATGTAAGATTTGTAATATTAATTTGAAAAAATAAACTTGGATTATAAAAAAAATATTTTACAATTGCGAAATTGCAATTTTAATTTTCAAAAATAAACTTGGAATACATAGAAACTTGAATTTAAAAATAATAAACTTGAATTGTAATTTAAAAAATAAACTTGTTTACAAAATAAAACTTGAATTGTAAAACTTGAATTTTAAAGGTCGGATTACAATTACAAATTATATTACAATTTTTATTAAAATATTTATTTTCAGCTTGATGTTCTTCACTCCGAATTGACAAAATACAATGCAAATGCATTCTCTTCTAATTCTGATCTTTTGGAATTTATTAAAAAGAATTGTCCAACTAGTGTAAAATGGCAAGATTGTGGGTTTAATGTAAGTTTTGAAGGAAGTTTTCACAATTCAAAAATAAACTTGGGGGAGTTGTAAAATAAACTTGAATTTGTAAAAAATTTTAAATTACAAATTGTAAAAAGTTTTTAAATTTTATTGTCGATATAATGGGTAAGAAAAGATAAATAAACTTGAATTTGTAAAAATTTAAGATAGATTGTAAAAATAAACTTGAATAACGAAAATAAACTTGGATTTGTTAAAATAAACTTGAATTGTAAAAATTCAAGTTGGATTACAAAAATAAACTTTGATTTGTAAAAATAAACTTAAATTAAAAAATAAACTTGGATTTGTAAAAATTCAAGTTGGATTGTAAAAAATCACAATTCTACATATTATGTTCATTTAATTTATTTTTTCAGACAATTTTGCTTATATGGAATGAGTCGACAACTGAAGAAAATCGAAAAGTAGGGCTTAGTTATTTGTTACAAAAGGTTGGCAAGAGTTTGGATATGCGTACGTAATTTATTAGAACGATGAAAATTGACTTGTTTAATTTGTATACTTTTTTAAAAAAGCATTTTGAATTGATTTTTGTTAAGTTTTTAATTTATTTTTGTTAATTTGATAATTTAATTAATTGTAATATTGACGTAATATATTAAAAATACACTCAAACGTCTTTATTCGCCTTTTATGTAAAAAATAAAAATAAACCTGAATTGTAAAACTTGGGAAATAAAGCCTGTAAAATGCAAATTGTAAAAACAAAAATAAACTTTAATTGTAAAAACTTAAATTATTGCAAAAACTTAAACTTGTTTTACAATTTGTAAAATAAACAATTCAAGTTTATTTTTGAATTTTACAATAGTTAAATTTGTAAAACTTGAATAAAAATAAACTTGAATTTGTAATCTTAAAAGGAACTTAAGTTTTACAATTCAAGTTCATTTTTTATTTATTTTTACAATTCAAGTTTTACAACTACTTAAGATTAAGTTTAACTTGTAATATGTTTTGTTTTTCTTTTTATTTGCGTTACTTGCCTTCTAATTTTATTTTTGATAAAACTTAATTTGCAATCTTACAAAAACTAAAGACTAAAAATAAACTTAAAAATATTTCGAAATTGAAAATTCTTTTTTTTATTGGCTGCACTTACACATTTTCACTCTTCAATTTCCCGCATTTCTTTCCAAGTTTTCCCTTCAAAGAACAAAACACAAAATTGAAAACATAAAAAGCCAACAGTGCACGTGAAAGACACTTTTATTTTTATTAAATAAACAAAAAAGCAAAAATGTGGTGATCAAACACGTGTTTAAAGGAGCAAAACACACACAAACATGTTTTACAATTTTGTTGGTTTTGAATTGTAAAAATTACAAAATTAAAACTTGAATTGTAAAAACTTTAAAATAAACCTGAAAACTTGATAAAATAAATTGTAAAAAAATAAACGTTTTACAATTTGTAAAAAAAATAAACTTGTTTTACAATTTGTAAAAAAATAAACTTGTTTTACAATTTGTAAAAAAATAAACTTGTTTCACAATTTGTAAAATGCTCATTATTACTTCTTAGTTAAGTGGGTTTTGTTTGTGTTTTCTATTTATTGGGGTGTGTTTTTTGTGTTTCTTCGAGTAATGCTCCTTAATTTTAATAAGTTTTGAATTCTCGACAACTTATTTGTTTAGGTCAGTTTGGTACTTTGTTCATATCCCGCCCCCCACCCCTATTTGAGTCTCAGATTAATTTTCCTTCGCCTTTTTTAATGCCAATTATTTTCTTCCCTCAAATATAGGACACACAAAAGGGCGCGCGGCCATAACGGCGCAAAGCCATAACTTGCTTCAAGATTTTAGAACCTTACCAAAATAAATATTAAACGATTCCTCTCATCTAGCTAAAGAGATTTATACCAGAAATGACAATGGCCAAAAATATTCCAGCAAGTTATGGTTTTGCGCCGTTATGGCCGCGCACTCTTTTGGACTGGAGCCCTTAAATTTTAACTTGCCTTTTACTTCTAATATTTGAGGGAAGAAAATGATTGGCATTAAAAAAGGAGGAAAAATAAATGATTGACAGCAAAGAAGGAAAATTAATCTGAGACTCAAATAGGGGTGGGGGGCGGGATATGAACAAAGTACCGTCAGTTTTTACTCTATTTTTTGTTTTACCCTTTTAGACTTTTATATTTATCGCTCAGACTTTTATGCACTAATATAATTTGCAAATTTTTTTTATTTTTTCCCAGACATGACGGAAATTGTAAACATGCGCTATGCCCTTTTTCTTTTTAATTTTCCCTTCTTATTTATTGGCAAATGTGAATTTAAAAATATTTTTAAATTTCAAAGGATTTAAAAAATATTTTTTAAATTAATTTAAAGCATGTTTACTCCAAAATTTTTTTGTTTTTGATAAAATCCTTTAAAAATAAGTGAGAAATCAAAAACCACACGTAAAATTCTCTTAATAATTTTAAAAATTTATTTGTCTGTTTTTTAAAATCGGATTAGATTTTGTCTTGTTTTTAATGAATAATGCCAATCCCTCAAGAGAGTCCGTCACAAAACTATTTTCATTTTACAACTTACAAGTTTATTCTCTCTTGGTATTTTTGATTCTTGTATAGATACCAGAGGTGAATCGGAATTGACAAAGGTGCCGGAACTCGGAACTGTCGGAAATCGGAAATGGCTCAAAAGTCGGAAATATTCTTAAATTTTCGGAAATTGGAGTCCCGATTCACCTCTGATAGATACTTTGGTTGGTGTGCGGACATATCGGGATTGGTGCGACAAAAATAATTTCTAGCGTGTTTACGTTTGTTCTAAAACATAAAAACTCTATTCCTCAACAGGACAATATACTATCCAAGACCCAGTGGCCGTAGGTCCCGAAATCAGTAGGGTAACTGTTCGTGCATTGAAATATCCCGATATGTCCGTCCCGATATGTCCGCGTGCCTTAGAAACATGTTAATTGTAAGTAGCCCTTTAGGCGATTGAACTATTGCCTGACTTAACCCACACCAGCAATAATTAAGGATTATTAAGGAACATTTCCAGACACCTTCCAAATCCTCTTTAACTCCCCCTTAGGGTATCCATCTAAATCCTTGTGATACTCACATTTCTTGTAGTTGACCTTTTCAACTCTTTATTTTTCTTTGTAAATTTAAATACCGATTTCACATGTATTTTACATGTAAAAAATTCCTTCACATGATGTCTAAGACTTTTTTTTTTATTTTTAATTCGCATGACCGTCCCTCAAAAGGGCATTTTTGCAGGGGTGAGACATAAAAAGCTAGCAAGGCTGGCTAGTCAAATAAAGCGGCACATGCTAAAAGGCAAAAATGGAAATATTGAGGGGGTATGACTAGATTGGAGATGTGAAAATAAGGCGGGTGAAGGGTATTGTGAAAGCAGTCAGTCGGTTTATGTGAATGATTGAGAGGAAAATAGAGAGGGGTGTTTGGAAACATTTAAGGGTGTTTATTTTATTTTTTTATTTTATTTTTTTCTATTATTTTTCTGTCCCTCCCTGTGGGCTCATTCATTCACCTTTGGGATGGTAAAAGTCGTTCACCCTTCAAAAATCTAGACGACCTGGAAAGGCATTCTAGAAAGATGTTGTTCACCTTTCATATACCTACCCAACTTCTTGTGCTTTTTCTCTTCTCCTTCAATCTCCATTCCAGTAGCCCACACAAACCCAAAAAAACACACTTTCATTTAGTCTGATACTTTTTATACCTAATCAAATTAGTACAAAGACTAAACTTATAAAATATTTCCAAGACTTTTCTAGCTAATTATTTAAATAAATAATACATATATTAAGTAGTCTCATTTTTATTTTATTAATTTATTCTATCATCATCTTCAGCTGCCTTTTTACTTTAAGACTGGGCGACTTAATTTTTGACCTTTTTTTATTGCCAATATTTTTCTTTCTATTATTTTTTATTGAGAGGCTCAAACCCCCTTAAAAATTTTTAAAAATTAAAAAATATTTTTTTTACCATTTTGACATCATAAAATTAAAAAAAAATTTTTTTACCATTTTGACATCATAAAATTAAAAAAAATTTTTTTTACCATTTTGACATCATAAAAATTAAAAAAAATTTTTTTACCATTTTGACATCATAAAATTAAAAAAAAATTTTTTTACCATTTTGACATCATAAAATTAAAAAAAAAATTTTTTTTACCATTTTGACATCATATAAAATAATTTTTTAATTTTTGGCGTTTTAACCTATTCTTATGACGCACACCCTTATTATTTTCTCTATACAATTTTTACAATTTTATTTTACAACTTGGAAATTTTTTTTCTTGAAAAATAACAAGGTTGCCTATTTTCTTCTTGTATAGGCCAACATTTATTTTTTCCTCCTATTTTTGTAAAACACGTGAATTTCAGTTGGCGCTTTTTACCTAAATATTTTTTATCTTCTTTTTCTACTCAGAAAATATCTCTAAATATAATATTCCCCTATTTTCTATCCTTCTAATGGGTGCAAAAAAATAGAAAAAAAATAGCAAATGCCATTCTGCTGCTGTTTTTGGACTTTGACCGAAAATGCCTGCAAGATTTTTAGAATGTTTTTGTGGTTTATAATGTGTTCTGTACTTTGAACGAAAAATAAAGCTTTTAAGCATGTTCCTAAAATAAAAACAATCTTAAAAATCCTAACTAAAATGCCTTAAAGGGCTAGTGAATTATGCAAGTTTAGGCGTGTGAATATTTTTGGCTTGTTTATAAGAGTGATGTAAAGGTTAAAGTTTATTTTTGTGGTTTGTAATTCAAGTTTATTTTTAATTTTTACAATTCAAGTTTATTTTTAAATTTTACAATTCAAGTTTATTTTTACAATTCAAGTTTATTTTTACAATTCAAGTTTATTTTTAATTTTTACAATTCAAGTTTATTTTTACAATTCAAGTTTATTTTTACAATTCAAGTTTATTTTTAATTTTTACAATTCAAGTTTATTTTTCCCATTAATATTTACTTTACAATTTCAAGTTTATTTTATCCAATTAAAGTTTTTATTTTGTGTTTTGTAATTCAAGTTTATTTTTATTTATTTAAAATAAACTTGAATTATAAAAAATAATTTTAATTGTAAATTAAACTTGAAATTGCTTTTCTTTTAAAGTTGCAATTTCTTTTGTAATTCAAGTTATTTCTTTTGTAAATCAAGTTTATTTTTTAATTAAAACTTATTTTTCTATTTCTACAATTCAAACTTATTTTTTACAATTCAAGTTTATTTTTAATTGTAATTTAGAATATTATCACCATTTTCCCCTATTATTATTTAACCCAAAAGATCACCTACCCAAAAATTTCGTCAGCATTACAAACTTCCAATTTTTGATTACCCCATTATTTTCTCTCATTTTTCCACGTCTGATTAGATAATTTAACAAAAAATCCTTAACAATTATCAAAGAAATATTAAAAAAAGAGGGTTTCACTTCCCTGACCTCCACCAATTTTATTCCACACCTCAAGGGGTCGTCCCAAAGAGTGTGTCACACGTTACTTTTCTTGTGAGTAGGCGGTCCAAACACATTAAAAAAATTTTTTTTTCTGTTGACTTTTGTGTTAACGCGAAAAGAGGGCGGGGTCTCTCTTATTATTATATAGTTTTTTGGGGGGAGACACGGAATTGGGTGAGAAAGAGGAAGGAAAGAATGCAGTTTTGTGTGTGTATTTATTTATTTGTAGTGGTAAAAGGATAAAAATGCTGCAGCAGCCAACAAAAGAAGGGATGGTTATTTTAACTGGATAATTTTTCGGTCTTTTCAATCATTTTTGTTGCATCCTTTGTGTCAGATGTATATTTTATTTTGTGTGTTTTGAGCATTTACAAAACCTTGCGAAATGTTTAGAGCATTTTACAATTTGTAAAGCATATTTGTGAAACTTATTACCTTTTGTAAAACTTATTTTAAAACTTTTTACAATTTGTAATTTATTTCAGTCAAGTAAAACTTTTTTTTACAAATTGTACTAACAAGTTTTACAATTTGTAATAAGTTTTACAAATAAGTTTTACAATTTGTAAAACTTATTTCTACCGCCTATTTTTAAAACTTATTCCTTTTGTAAAACTTATTATTATTTTTAAAACTTTTTACAATTTGTAAAAATGGCCAACTTTATTTGTATTTTTCTCTCACTCTCTCCTCAATTCATTTTATCTTTTCAGACCAAAAATATTTCTTTATTATTCCAAAATTACAATGCTCAATTCATTTACTCCCCAACAACACCAACAAGCTGTCAGTCAGCATTTAAGTATAGAACAATTACTTAGGGCTGCTAAGCTTATTGAACAACGTGCTATTATTGAAAAAATGCCCTCCCAATTTAGTGAAATTGGTGGCTTTTCTGCCAATTTTGGAGGTACTCGAAAAAAATTTTTTTGAAATTTTTAAAAATTTTTTAGAAAAATACGAGGCCCGAATTTTAGCTCCAAAATTGAGAACTTTTGTTGGCGACCCAAATTGTGGCCCAAGCTCTACCGGTTCAAGTCAACGTTCTTCCCCCCTCTCCGCTTCTCCATCACCTGATTTGGCTGTTCTTGCTTGTCTCCACTCCCCTCAATATTATCAACAACAAACACAACAAAATTTAACTCTTTTAGAGTCACAACAACGCCAATCTATTTCCACTTCTTCAGCTGCCTCATCTAACGCTTCGGGTTCTTCAATGGCAACAACGATAGATGCGCGACGTGTGTCAACACGTCTAGACGACAACTTGTCCCCGTCGGCTTCACATGGTGTGGGGAGCGGGCGAAGGGCTAGCGGCAGTAGACAAAGCAGGTGGGATTTAAAAATGATTTCTTTGGCAAAAAATTTTTTCAAAATGTCAAAATTACAAAACGCCAAAAAATTTTCAAAATGCCAAAAAAATATCAAAACGCCAAAAATATTTCATAACGCCAAAAAATTTTTTAAAACGACAAAGGTTTCAAAATGTCAAAAAAATTTCAAAATGTCGAAAATATCAAAACGCCAACAAAAATTACATAACGCCAAAAAATTTTTTCACAACGCCAAACTCCTTTTTTTACAAATCTCAAGTCAAAAGACACGTCATGCCTTCTTGTTCCCTCTACTAATTTTAGTTTTACCGCTAAACATGCGCATTTTTTACCCTTTTAATCCTTTCCATTTTCCCAACAAGCGCAAATACATTTTTTTCTTTTTTCTTCAATTATTTTTAGGCATTTTACGAACATTTCTTTTTACTTCAATTCCTCTATTTTTGTTTTTCCCCACTCAACATTTAGTAGAAAATCGTCCACAAGGGCACGCGGTTTAGTCAGAGGGGGGAAAGGAGGCTGCTCTCTCTTTAGCAAGAAGGACTTTCATCCCTAGGCGGCTGACGACGACAAAAATATATAAATAATACACACATTTGTTTCCTGCACACGTGTGCTGAGCACGTGGACAACTTGTCTATGCACGTGAATTTGTGTGTTTGTGTGTATAAATGACAGTGAAGAGAGAATGTTAGACACTTCTCTTCTCTAATCTCTCTTCTCTTCTTGTTCTCTCTCTTTGTTTGTTGGAATGTTGGTTAGTGTTGTTTAGGGAAGTAATATTTTGGCTACCCTACAACTCATCCAATCCTTAACTCATCTAACACTTAACTCATCCACACGGCCAAAAACGCTCAACTCATCCAATCCTCAACTCATCTAATGCTTAACTCATCCACACGCCCAAAAACGCTCAACTCATCCAATCCTCAACTCATCTAATGCTTATCTCATCCACACCCCCAAAAACGCTCAACTCATCCAATCCTTGAAATATCGGCCGGTTGAGTCCCTAGCCGGTTGAGTCCCTGGTCAGTTGAGTCTCAACCGGCCCAAGACTCAACCGGCGGTAATCAACCACTCAAACGGCCGGGACTCAACTGACCAGGGACTTAACCGGCTAGAGACTCAACTGGTCATGGACTCAAACGGCCAGGGACTCAACTGGTCATGGACTCAAACGGCCAGGGACTCAACTTGTCATGGACTCAGACGGCCAGAGACTCAGACGGCCAGAGACTCAACTTGTCATGGACTCAGACGGCCAGAGACTCAACTTGTCATGGACTCAGACGGCCAGAGACTCAGACGGCCAGAGACTCAACTTGTCATGGACTCAGACGGCCAGAGACTCAGACGGCCAGAGACTCAACTTGTCATGGACTCAGACGGCCAGAGACTCAGACGGCCAGAGACTCAACTGGCCATGGACTCAGACGGCCAGAGACTCAGACGGCCAGAGACTCAACTTGTCATGGACTCAGACGGCCAGAGACTCAGACGGCCAGAGACTCAAACGGCCAGGGACTCAGACGGCCAGAGACTCAGACGGCCAGAGACTCAAACGGCCAGGGACTCAAACGACTGGTACTCAATAGTCTCGTTCCAAAGGATTGGATGAGTTGAGCGTTTTTGGCCGTGTAGATGAGTTAAGCATTAGATGAGTTGAGGATTGGATGAGTTGAGCGTTTTTGGCCGTGTGGATGAGTTAAGCATTAGATGAGTTGAGGATTGGATGAGTTAAGCGTTTTTGGCCGTGTGGATGAGTTAAGGAATTTTAGCCGTTTAGATGAGTTGAGCGATTTTGGGCGTGTGGATGAGTTAAGTATTAGATGAGTTGAGCGGGCACGAATATTTTTTCTGTTAGCGCTTTTCTTCCTCTTTCTCTCTCAACATTTTAGCCTTTTCTCTAGTATTTGTTAATAAATGTGTACTTTTATTGCACGACATTTGTAGTGAAATAACTCGGAAAAAAAGAAAAAATGTAGGGATTGGATAATTTTTAGTTAATTTTTAAAAGATTTTTTGATGAGGGAACTTATTTGTTAGGGCAGGGGTGTCCGCAATTGGAAAAAATTTTCCGCAAGTGCAATCCGCAAGTCAAAAAAACACGCAATCCGCAATATGCAACCCGCAATTGCGGACATCCCTGACTGTGACTCTTAAATTTAAATCTTGTCGACATTGTGACTAGTTATGGATTTCTATATTATATTTGTGTTCTGATTCGTGTTTAGCGTGTTCTTATTATTGATCTTTTTGACTTTGGTTTTTGTCTTTTTCTTGGTGGATGTCTTGATAGAGATTTGGGGAGGTTGTCTGATTTCGCGTTAATATCGGATGGGGGGGGGTCTTTATCGAAATCAAATCAACTGAACGAAATCATTATTCAAATAAACATCCAAAAACTCGGAAAGTACTTGCTCTTCTTGTTTTTCCTCCAGTCAAATCCTCAAGTTTCTTGTTTGATCACTTGGGTATTTGTGCACGAAAATATTTACTAGTAAATATTTTTTTAGTACACATATGTTTTATAATAGAGTCAGAACAGAGAAAATAAACGAGAGAAAGAGACTTGGTCAAACAGAAAAAAAAGTAAAATAGTCGTGCCATTTTCTTTCTCTCTAGGGTCCATAGTACACAAACTTCGGGTGTCACACAGTGCATGTGAATATAGTGGGGATGCCCCCCAACCTTTATTTAACGCGCAGCGCTCTAAGTATATGATCAGGCGGTGTACCCCCTTCCCCGAAACTTCCCCCTTCCCTCTATTTCGTTGCTCTCTCCGTCGCGGACCCTTCAATCGTTGTAACAACACACATATTCGCCCACTTTTTTTGGTTGTTGTCCCGTGTGACTGGCGCTCCTCTCTTTTTTTTCTACAAAAAAATTTTTTTTGGGAAGGAATGCCTCTTAAAGGTGGCGACGACAACTAAAATATAAACGATGATATGTGAGCTGGCAGGAATTGAAGGGGGGAGGGAGGGGGGGGGGCTGTTGTTGCTTGCTTGGTTGTTGATGATGGCGTGTGACTTGAAAAAAATTTTTCTTCTGAAAAAATTTTTCTTTTTCTTTCTTTTACCCTACTTGTGTGTGTTTATAAAAGAATGAATAAATAAAAGAACAAAACAGGAAATTGAAGGGGAATTTTGTGGGTATTTGTGTTTGTTGGGGTTAGTCAAGTTGGACATTGAGAGAAATAAATGTATGGACTTTGCTACTTTTTCATGTGATTTTTTTGTTTTTGATTTACTAAATTTTTTAAAGTACATTTAAAAGAGGAGAGAATATTTGTTTTAAATTTTTGATGGGATCAAATGTCTCACTGGACATTTTTTGTAATTAAATATTTGTGGGATCATTTGTCATCTTTTCTCTACAAGCTTAAAACATCTTCATTTTAATGTCATTATTTAATTAAAAATTTAAAAATTGTGTCTATAATGGAAAAAAATATAATTTTTAATAAATGGGACCAAATGTCATTTAAAAAAATTTAAATTTGAAAAATCTAAAAATACTCAAAATTAGCCTAAAATACTCCATATTTTATATTTAAAAATATTTTCAGGGCAGCCCACAACGAATTGGAAAAGAATAGACGTGCCAATCTCCGAGGACACCTCGAGGCTCTTAAATCTGTTTTGCCACCCGAGAGTGATACTCATAGAGACACAACATTGTCTTTGTTAACGAGGGCTAGGAACTACATTAAGGTGGGTAGAAAGGATTTTTCTTGACAATTTTTTATTTTTTTGATGATTTTTTCGTGTCTTCCTTCGCTTCTTAAAGTAAATCCAAGTATTTTTTCCAGTGCCTTTAATGAGTCACGGTTACTCGAAAACCTCTCCCTCACTCAATATATATTTTTTTAAGTAAGGGTAAACAAAAGAGTCACGCGCGCAACCATTTTTCTTAATATTTGTTAGGATGTCCAATCACCAAAAAAGAAAAAAATTTTTTTGTTCGACGACTTTCCCAATCTTACACACCAAAATTGATATCAACGTGTTCTCTTTTCTCTCTATCAATAAAACTAATAAACATTTTTCTTTACCTCGTGAGAGGAAAAAAATTTTTAGGGGGAAATGATTATATTAAATATTTTTAGTTGTTTCCTCAACTAGTTTTTTAGTATTAAATTGCGTGTTAAACATACACACAACTTTAAAACAAGTTTTTTTAAACAAATTAATAAAACTCGTGGTATTCTCTCCTTTTATAGTGTTTGACGCAAACCTATTGGCGGAACGCTCAACAAAACTTTTCTTTCTCTGTTTTCTTTTTCTGTTTCTTCAACATTCTATTTCTTTATATTCTTGTCTATGTTTGTTCTGTCTTTAAAAGAAAGTTTTGTTGTTGCAAACTTGTACTCCCTCATATTTTGCCAACTTGACATTTTGCCAATCAAGCGAAAACATCACATTTTGTCAACAACCTTGTTGACAAAATGTGTCTTTTTAGCCTTGTTGGCGAAATGTGTTATTGGCAAAATGTCTCGACAAGTCTGCAAACTTGACAGAACAAAACATCTTTTTTCTTTCCAAGTTTTATTTTCTTTTCCTCTTCTTCTAATCATTCTATTTTCTTCATATGACTATTCCAATGTTTTACTAATCTTTTGCCTATACAAAAATGTTTTAATGATTCTGTTGAAATACACGTGAATATGCAACCAAAAATTCTTTTTTTTGCTAGTCTCGAGTTAAGAAAAAGACAAAAATATTTTTTCTTTCCTCAGAGCAGTTGCTCTCTTTTTTGATCAAACATTTTACGCAAAACGTTAAGAAATAAATTTGTGTTTGATAAAAAAAGGAAAGAGCCAGTCACATGTTTTGGGCTGTTTTATTCTTTGATTGAAATTTTTGTTGGCCCAGAAGATCGAAAATTTAGAAAGGAGATCAATGGGAAGCTTTTTTGAATGTCTTTTAAGTGTGTAAATTGGATTGGAAGAGAAGAGGAGCTAATATAGAAGGGACCTTTTTTATAGGATACCCTTTGGGGGTAAAGAAAGCTTAGAAAGAAATAACGAGGTAAAAATAGAGGTGTCTTGCTTAGACCTCTATAAGGCTAGACTATATAGATATAGAGTATTGGGGGGTGTCTTATAGAGTGTGCCTTAAATAGAGGGTATTTACTTGGACAGCTTGAGCACCCATTACAGAGCTGCCTAGACTATTAGGAGGTCTGACTATGCTTAGCTTAAGCGACATTGAGTCACGTTTCATTTTAGACAACCGTAACCCTTTTTATTTTAACTAAATTTAAAAGTACATACGGATTAAAGTACGTACATAAAAAATTTTTCTTCCTAGTAGCAGGTGTGTGAGAGAGATTTAATTTAAAAAAGACAAACAAAAAAACTAATATTAAGTAGCTGGCAGTAAAATGTACTTTATAATATGATGAAAAGCTAAGTGTGTGGACTTTGTTCCTTTTTTGCAAGAGAATTAATAAAATTTAGCACGGTTGAGTCATCAAAATAAAATGTAGTTAAAATTTGTTTTTGTCTTTCTCAGCTTTTAATCATCTTTTTTTGGATTAGTAATGTGGGGGAGAATTAAATTGTGTAAATACAAGGAGGATTAAGGAGTCTAGACTAAGTCTAATTAATGCCCTTTTTAAGAAGACTAGTCGCTTTTAGCGAGATTTTGGTATTACATACCTCTATATAGTCAACTCTCGTTAGTAGCGACTATAGTATGGAGGAGTATATAGGAGACATAGGACATCCCTTCTTATCCCATTTTGTCTTGAGTTACTCTAATAGTCTTTTTTTGGTATGAGGACAAATGTCGTGGGGTCAAATATCGTAGGACCAAATGTCACCAAGTTTGAAGCGAAGGTCGAAACGAAATTTTAAAAAATTTGAAATTAATTTTTAACTAATTTTTCCCTCATTTTCAGTTTGTGGACGAACAAAAGTCTGCCCTTCTCAAAAAACGAGAAGCTCTTCTAGCTGAACATTCACGTCTTCAACAACTTTTACAGCAAAACAAAGGGGAAGGAGTGGAGCTTCCACAATACAACGATAAAAGTTTTAAAGAAGCAACCGCGTCTTTAACACCTCTTCAAAACGAAACTTGTCGAAAAATAATAAAAATAGTTCAAATCCCTGAAGTAAGAGAAGAAGAGGTTGTTGTGGGAGAGGAAATTAATGTCGATTTTACACAATATGAAATTTCTCAAAATTGTTTAATTAAAGAAAAGAAGGTTGAAGAAGATGAGAAAAACAATTCTAAACAAGAAACGAATAATATAAAAGTTAATATGGAGGAATATCTTTCACTTAATGGTTTACTTCCAGCACTTCCTTTACTCTATCCTTATTCTTCTGTAAATAGTGCTGGGGTGGCTGGAACAATGACGGCGTGACCGGACAATCCGTCAGTGGACAATCCGGCAGTGGAATATCCGTCAGTGGACAATCCGTCAGTGGTCGGACAATCCGTCAGTGGACAATCCGTCAGTGAACAAATTCGTAATTCCTAGTCATACCCAGACTACCGTGGCCAAAATTTTACATTTCATCGTCTGGGGGTTTATAAGAGATATCGAAATTTGGAGCTTAATGATGAAATCGGCAGATTTAGCTGGATTAAAATGATATCAATGGATGTGGGAGATATCTGGGATTTCAAAGATATTGTGGGATTAAGAGGAATATACAAGATTTGCAGTATTATGGTGGTTAACGAGGAATTAGAGAGATTAAGATGGATTTCGGATGATTAAATGGGATATCAAGCGATAAAGCCGGATTAAGAGGATTTGGAGGATATCCAAATCTATTCCATCCAAATCCCCTATATCCTTCTAAATCCATCGACAATTCAACCAAACTACTCAATATTTATCTACCAAATCCATTGATGAATTTTCGATATCTTTCATAATCCCTGACGATAAAATGAAAATTTTTGTTCGCGGTAGCCTGAGTATGGGTAGAAATTACAAATTTGTTCACTGACGGATTGTCCATTGACGGATTGTCCGAGCACTGACGGATTGTCCACTGACGGATATTCCACTGCCGGATTGTCCACTGACGGATTGTCCGGGAGCCAATGACGGCCTAATTTGTGTTAAACGATTGGAATTTTGATGAAAGAGATGAATAGATTTTATTAAGGCCTTGTTTATTTCTTTTTGTTTTTACTAGAATCTCTGACTTATCCCTCTTTCAAGATTTTTTAAAAAGGGACATCTCAGAGCTTAATACTTCAAGAATGCTTTTAGGAAGGATATCCTTGCGATACTTAAGGAGGTTAAGAGAAGATATGTATGGGTACACCCCATCTTTACCGCAGCCCATCTTACCACGAGCCCAACTCACCGCATGCTTGCTCCCGAAGATATAACCAACTCCCAAATCTTTGACTTGTCTCACCTTTCAAGATTTTAAGGGGATATTTCTTACTAGAGATATCTCAGAGCTTGGGAAACTTTAGGGAGGATAAGGGGGAGAAGACTTGGAATAATCTGGGAAACAAACTCAGTGATACAAGAAGAAGAGATTCCAGTTTACTTTTGCATTTTTTTTCTTGTCCCTAAGCCAAAGAAATATACCTAATTTGTTTTTATATAATGTATACTATATTCCTTGTCTGCAATTTCTAAAAAATTTTTCCTGTCCACTATTGTACATAAAAAATATTTTTTTCTTCAGTTTTTCATTTAAATTTTTGTACTTTAATTATTCCCAAAATAAATTGTCCATTATTCAATGAACATTTTTTAAAAATGTTTCGATTTCTTATCGTTTTTGCAATTTTCTTGCAAGTATATAAAATAAATAAATGTTTTTTCTAAAAGAATTTTGTCTTGCTTTTACTGAGATTTTAGGAATTTAGCTTATATTAAGTTATCAATGAGGGTTTGAGGGGTATTCGAGCTTTGCTTAAGTCGACAAGCAAGAATAACGTTTATCCAAACTGGAAATTTTTGTGTTGGACATGATCGGTTATTTTTCCCCTGTGGCGCCTTAAAAGCTCTTATTCTTCTCTATTTGACCCGCCACAAGGAAAAATTAACCGGTCGTGTCCAACTCTAATTAAAAGTTAAATTGTAGATGACGGTGGATTGGGTTGGAACAGAAGAAGGAAATCAGAGACTAGGCGAGCTAGTATGATCCAACTAGACTGACACTAGACTAACAAGTTTAAGGGTTCGGCTTATGAAAAATTAAACACGTTTTTCTAGTCTAAAAAATGTGAGGAGATAAAATATCACCATAAATGTACTCAAAATGGTCCACTTTTGAATTTTCAAGAAAATAAAAAATTATTTTTCCCACTCGGATTCGAACCCACGGCCTCAAATTTTTTAGTTTCCTATGAAATTTCCTTAATAGACTTGTTGATAAATCAACTATACCTTGAAAAATAAACACATAAAATATTTTTTTATCTCATCAACCCAAACAATACAAACACAAAACAACAAGTCGAAATTTACATACAAGAATATTCATTTATTTCGTTTACTTCCTTCCTTTATTGACAGTCTTATACCTAGAGCGCACTACAGTCTCTCCTTTTTTATTCTTAGTCTTAGTATACATTACATCACCAACTACAACAGTACACCAAGCTTTGCCTAAAACACCAACCAGAAAGATGACACAGCAAATAAATATTGTAATTGAAATTATGGCGAGTACTTTACGTGACAAATCTGGAAAAAAATAATAAAATTAAATTGAAAAAAAGGGGGGGGGGGTAATGGAACGTCGGACCTGAGGCTGAAATGTACCAGAGACCCTGCCGACAAAAAACCAGAATTCCAGATTTCGAGAATCTGGAATTCCCGCCGATTTTCGGTAATTGGGAAGGCAGGATCCCTGAAATGTACCTTATAATGAGATGTATCTTAAATAGAGGTTATCGACTAGGCAGCAGTGCTTGGACGCCCGTACTTAAACTTATACTCGTATTTGAATTCTGACCATTTTTAATTTTGACCGCTATGAGAATTTACTTTGTTGGACATTACGATATTCTCCTATTACTGAACTTTTGCGGTACACCTCAATTGAGTCCGCACGATTGAGTCCCCACGATTGAGTCCGCACGATTGAGTCCCCACGATTGAGTCCCGGCACAATTGAGTCCCCACGATTGAGTCCGCACGATTGAGTCCCCCTTGTATATACCTCAATCGAGTCCCCGTGGATTTAATAAGTTAAAATTTCCATATCCGGCATGCGGGATTATTTCAAAAATGTTGTGGGGCGTAGTTAGTTGACAGTATCAGCTTGCAATACATGTTTCCTTACTTCAGCATTGAGATTAAACAAGTTTTTTTAATTTTTTTGAATTTTTAAAAATTTTTTGAAATTTCTAATTTTTTATAAATAAATGTCGGCAAATTGGTTCTGAGATCCTACAGTTGGTGTGCACCCTTGTTATTAGCTTTAATCCCTCCAAATCCTAGGATATTTTTATCTTTTTTTTCATTTTTTCTAAATTTTAGTTCTTCAATTTTCTTTACAAATCTATACGCTTCTCAACATGTCCAAATGGGCACTACGGGTACAACGGCCATCAATGTGGAAGAGCAAAGCTTCAGCGCGGAACATCTGCCGGATAGCATTGATGACTCGCAGCGGGACATCATCGTCGAGAAATATGAGCTAGCCGAAGACGAACCAGTGGGGGCGTCGATTCGCGCCGTGAACTTCATTAAATTGCAAGGGAGACCATCAGTAACGAGGATAATGTAGTGCTGGGAGAGGAAGAAAAAAATCAAGAAATCCATCCAAATTCTTGATATCTACCTTAATACACCGATATCACCCTTAAAAGTTTAAATTTGCATTAAATCCCTCCATATCCACCGATATACAACTTGATCCCTCGATGTCGAATACAAGTCCCCTGATGTTCACTTTAATCTCTAAAAATCCCCCGATATCCCTCTTAATCCTTTTTAATATAATTAAATCCACGGGGACTCAATTGAGGTATATACAAGGGGGACTCAATCGTGCGGACTCAATCGTGCCGGGACTCAATCGTGCCGGGACTCAATTGTGCCGGGACTCAATCGTGGGGACTCAATCGTGCGGACTCAATCGTGGGGACTCAATCGTGCGGACTCAGTTGAACTGCTCCGGAACTTTTGATAAAATACGAGTACAAGCAAAAATAAAAGTGAGTACAAAGGTACGAGCCCGAAAAATAGGAGGGTACGAGCACTTTTGGGCTACCCCCTCCCTAATGGCCATCCAAATTTTTTGTAAAGGGATCCTAAAATGTGGTATACGAAGGTAACTTAAGGTGAGGTCCGACTAGAAAGATATCGAAATAATTTTCAGGGTACAGCCCGAATAGTCGCGCGGCCATAAGGTCGCCAAGTCATAAAACTTGCTAATATATTTCTGGCCCTTATCAATTTTGGTAGCAATCAGCTTGATGAGAGGAATCGTTTAATACTAAATCTGGAAAGATTCGAAATCTTAAAGCATGTTATGGCTTGGCGACCTTATGGCCGCGCGACTATTCGGGTGTGGTCCTAATTCTCGATATTCCCAAAGTTCTAACCCATTTTATGCGGTGTATCAAGCGCAGTTGTTTCAACAGTTTTAGTGCTTGTAGTAGTAGGCATCGTGGTGTAATACGTAGAATCCGAATGATTAGAAGCACCGTTAGCCTTTGAAAAGAAATTTTTTTTGAAGAAAAATTAATTTTATTTTGATTACCCCAATATTAGAATCCGTTTGATTTCCATCCAAAGAAGGCAAGGAGAAAGTAGAAACAACTGAAAAAATAAAAAGAAAATATTTGAAGGGATTATTGGTTAATGGAGCAGGCCAAGGTTTCACTAGCCCAAAGGTACTGCCTCCCAGAGCTGCCGAAGACCGAAAATTTTCCCCGACTCGAGACCAAGACCGTAAAAACCCCAAGAAAAGCCTTGAGTCAAGCCTCAAGACCAATAGTCTTGGACACCTCTACCGTCGACCTACAGCTTCCTTCAGAAATTGGCGAATCAAGGACGCACTGCTATGTGTAGTGGCGCTCGACGAGCTGAATCGATCTCCACTAAGACGTCCCTGATTCGACAATTTTGAAGGAAGTTGTAAGTCGGCGGTACCTCAGCATAAGGCACCTTGCCCTGCTCTAAAAAAAGACTGACCAACAAAAAGCAGCAACAACATTATAGCCATATTGAAGACTTTATTGGAGTTGTGGTAGAGAGAATTAAAAAGTTGCATTTTGCTTTTTAATTGAAAACGACTTGATGAAGCTTTGTTGTGGAGAATGGAAAGGATTAGAAGGGAGTGAAAGAAGTCCTTTTTATAGTAAATTTAAAAAAAAGCTTGGAGACATTCAGTTAAACGAGAGGCATTCAGCTATCAATGCTTGATACAATACAGTTAAAGTTTTCTCATACTAACTCCAATTTCTCTTCATTTGGTTGACCTTTTGTGTACCTATCTAATAATTAGGCATCGGATTTATCTGGAGTGGAACTCGCTAACGGAAGCAGACAACCTACCGCCGAGCTATAACTTCGTTCAGAATTGTCGAATCCGGGACGCCCTGGTATGGTTGGATTCAGCTCGTCGAGGCGCATCGAACCATACCTGGTTGTCCCGGATTCGACAATTCTGAACAAAGTTATAGCTCGGCGGTAGGCTGGCCTTGCGGTAGGTTGGGGTGTACCCCTCGCTAACTGGCCATCATTGACTACTGTATTTTTTAACTCATCACTCGTTCAACACTCGTTCAATTATTTATTAATTAGATCCCTACTATGCTTGATACAATACAGACTTTGAGTTTTACTTTATACAAGGCACACTTTAACGCCAGATTTTTATTCCAATTTTAATCAATTAAAAAATTGACCAAAAGTCCATTTCACCATAAAAATGCCCATTTGACAAAACGTCTATTTGACAAAATGCCCATTACAAAAACATCAACTCAGTGACGATCCATTTTAATTGATCGAAAGTCCTTTACCTTATAAATTAAAGTTTAGTTTAAAAAGACAAATGTTTTTATTTGACAATTTTATAAAATTAAAGAAGGAACGAGGATTTTATTGTTAAACGACATAAAATATCAAAGCACTTAAAGAACAAAAAAGAAAGAAAAAGCGGATATAAAAGAAAGAAGAGGAGGGAGAATTAAAAATATTTGAACAGGTCACGAGTCAACCAAAGTTTTATTTTTCAAATAAAACTTTCAAAAATCAGTCTGAAAATAAAAGAAAAGAATTTCTAGCCAAGAGATCAATTAAAAAAAATTTTTTATTTTACTTATTAAATGGATGCCCCCAATGCTTTTGCTGTTGGACACAGAGCTCGTCGTTATTGTATTCCAACAATTATTCAATCAAATCGTGTTGATTGTCGGCCTAGACCTTTAGGCGTGGTAAGCACGTTTAAAGAACAAATTTGAGATAAAATACACCCTTAGGGCAATCTATAAAGAGGGTGTGAATAAGGGTAATATCACATAAACAACTATTCCTATCAGGGCTGGGCGCAAAATCGGATTGCGTAAATTGCGTATTTTTCTTTGACTTGCGGATTTTAAAATAAAAATTGCGGATTGCGGCTGCGGAAAATTTTTTTACATTTGGGGAAAGCTTTGCTTCTAACTTGCCTTTTATTAAACCGAATAAATTTAAGGCTAACTCACTATTTCCACCCAGTGGTTATAAATTGAGGTTAGATTGAGGTTAGAAAACATCAGACGCTTTAGAAGGCTCTATTAAAAAAAGAAACTTTTTTAGCTTAAACGAAGTGTTTCATCAAGCTTTGCAACTCCAGTAACTAAAGTAACACCTTTTGGTGGGCAATACACGCCAAATTGGAATTATTTTTACTACAATCCACGTCCATCATTTAATGTAGATAAAACTTATTTTGGAGATCCGGTAGGTTAAATATAAATATTTAAATATACATATATTTCTAGTCCTCGTTATACAGGGTGGCAATAAAGTAAGGGGGCACATTTCATTTCATCATAACTTTTTCTCTGTTTCATTTTTTAAATAATTTTATACTCATTTTGTAGCCTAAACAATTCTCTTTCAGAGTTTATAAGCCCGGTTCCATTATTTAACACTTTTCCAAAAGATTCAGCGTTCGCTAAATTTCAACTCTCGAAAACTCAAGTACATATAAACCCAGAAATAATTACCCCAAGAATCCTTTTCCCAAAAAAAGGTTTTTAACTGGGTGGGGGAGCTGCCTAAGCAGTTCCACTCTTTATTATATACCTCTACTTAAGAGACACCTCATTATAAGAGACTATTTTCTACCCTAAAGGTATCCTATACTGTAGTTTACTGTAGTAATTAAATATTTTTTGCAGAGAAATGTTTATTGGACAGGAAAGCATTCAAATCTTCCAGCAATTAATACTTTTGATAGAAAGGTTTTTAAAGAAGATTTTTCAAAAATTTTCTAAATTAATTAAAAATTACAGGAAACTACAAGTGCAAATTGCAGAGATTTTCATAACCAGAAACATTGGAATTATCCTTTTAGTTATTGGGCAACTTATTATTATTGGACTTAGAAGGGCTAAACTACAGTTTCCGTACCAGGCTCAGAATTGAACGATTTATATGTCATTCGAAAGAGCTCGTCGAGCTGAGTCGAATGACACCAAAATTTTTCAGCGGAAAAAATTCTGAGCCGAGTTACAGACCACTAAAGTTCAAAAAACCATAGGGGGGACCAAGCTGTTTTCTGGAGGTGAAAAATTCGAATATGCAAATTATACCTCATTCGAAAGAGCTCATCGAGCTGAGTCGAATGACACCAAAATCAATGAAATCAGAATTGATTTGACAAAGTAATGCTCGTTTGTTTTAGCTCCTTACCTTTGTTCTCCGTGGATGTTCTTGCTGCTGCGAAGGAAGCTGGCATGCCCATCACAGCGATAATTGGAATAGGATTAAGTTACAAGCCCAGACCCAGAGCCCGTAGACTCCCCGCGAGGCGCGTGCCGCAAAACTCCGCGCGAAGCGCGGAGTTTTGCACAAGCGCCTCGCCGTCGCCCCATAGGTTTACGTTGTTAGTTTTTTTGTCATAACTTTGAACAAACTTGACCAATCACGGCGATTTTGGTGTCATTCGACTCGGCTTGAAGAGCTCTTTCAAATGAGCTATTAATTGCATATTCAAATTTTTCACCCCAAAAATCAGCTTGGTCCCCCCTATGGTTTTTCGATTTTCGGGGGCCTGTAACTCGGCTCAGAATTTTTTCCGCTGAATAATTTTGGTGTCGTTCGACTCAGCTCGACGAGCTCTTTCGAATGACATATAAATCGTCCAATTCTGAGCCTGGTACGGAAACTGTAGTTAGGCCCTTAGAAGAGAAGGAAAGGAAGGAAGGATATTAGCTCCACTCCCCTTAGTACAAGTACTCAAATAATTTCCCTGGAAGTGTAATTGATTGATAAAGCTTTGCATTGTAATTCAGATCCAGTCGTACTCGTACCTCTATTTTTGGCCTCGTAATTCATACCAAGTTCTAGGCACGGTATGAGTAGAAAATTCGGTACTTATTCCTTTCCCCCAGTCTGCGATTTAGTTGAATTACGAAATGTTAGTCATTTTTTCCTTAATAATTAAAAAATTACACTGTAGTCACATTCATTCAGTCACTTTTCCTTCAATAACTTCCTTTTTTTATTTGTTACCGTCTTTAAATATAAAAAACTTATGCAAGGAAAAAATGACTGAATATTTCTTACTTCAACTAAATCGCGGACTGGGATGAAAGTATTTTTCGCCATTAGAAACAAGGCAATTTTACATAAAAATTAAATTTGGCAAAAGATGTTGAAGAAAATGTTAAAAATTCAGAAAATAATTTTTTGGAAATTATTTATGGAAATGCATTATATCATTTATTAGTAAATTCTGATGATGTAATAATTAAAAACCCCCAAAATATACAAATGTTTATGACTAAATTTAGAGGAATTATATTTGATTTTAAAAGGGAATTAATTTGGAATTTTATTTGTAGTTCAATTTTCATTTAAATTATGATTATAGTAAAGGTCAACTCATATAGTATTAGTTTTAAATTTTCAATTTCAAAATATTATTTATAATACCTTAAGCTGCAGAAATAAAACGGACAAAAAGACTCACAGCTTTAACATAACAAAGTTTATGCTGTATAATGTTGTATATATAACATCAAAATTCTGAAAAAAGATCAAATGTGAATTATAAATGAATTATAAATTTCCAATTTAAAGTTGATAATTTTTGACATTTATAAAATATGAATTTTGTTTAAACATTTTGAAAATATAAAAAACATATCGCAATAAAAGAGCAGTAAGAATAGCAGCCTATATTTTGTGTGTTTTTCCAGTTCCAGGCATCCCCTTAATATCATAAAGATAAACTTTATATGATTAAGATAAAAAACCTGTTTAACACTGCATGAATGAGGTAAAAGAAACGTATAACTGCAGTTTTTGATCGCCAGACAAATTAAATGGATTTAAGGGAGATAAATAATACTTAGATAAAGTTGATATTCTAGAGGTACAACGCCTATTATTTTACTTAAGTTATCTGAGGTAAAAATTTTTAAATTTATATATTTTAGGAGGGAGAGAAAAATCTTGAGGGTAATTTTAATTTATTTAAAATATATTAAAATTTAGCTTTCACTCCTCCGAAAGCACTAAATAGGCAGAGAAAATACTTTCCTATATTTGATAATGTTCCAAAAAAGTAAAAAGCACGGGACCAATTATAGGTACGTTTACTCGATTGAATTATTTTTTCTATCTTAAGATACACCAAAATAATTATTTTGTGTGTGTGAAAAGAGTGAAAAGAAAGGTAAGGAAGTGATTTGAAAAATAAACGAAAAATTAATTATTTTAGAGAATAACAATATGCTTGAGTTAAGTTTTGAAAGTTATCTTCCGACCAGAACAGTGCGCCTTCCTTTTGATAAAAAGTAAATTTGAGACTCAAGGATGGGGTTAGTATATAAACAAAGTACCATTTCCGATTAAAAAAATTTTTTAAATAAATAACTTCTGTACAACAGCATTTATACATTATGAAAAGAAAATTAAAAAAATAAAATGTACATAGTGCAAGTGAAAATACTAGATTTGTACCATGGCTAGGCGAAATCTAAAAATAAAAAGCGAAATGCAAAACTTTTCGCGATAATAAATGCGAAATTAGCCCAGCCCTGGTATGTAGGTACTAGTTTTTGTAGTTCATGTCCGATGTTCATGCTGTGGAAAATTGTGGATGGGAGATGGAATTGAACTGACTGTGCCACCATCCAACCCAATGCTGGGTTATTTATTTTCATTTATGGTCTTTTTGAAAGTGCGGACACAACAAGGGGATCGAAAAATAGAAGCACATGTGGAGAGCATTTACGGTATTTAAGAAGGAAATTAAGCCATAAAATAATAAAATTATCATGCTTACAGCGAAATTGTAATGAGTCAAAAATTTATCTGCTAGAAGTAAAATTCTTTTTTTATGATTTAGAAAAGGATTTTTCAGCTTTAGTTTCGGCATTTTCAATTTTAAACTTTTTGAACTTTTTGAGCTTTCGACATGTTCAAAACGAGACTTCATCGAATCAACACCAAACTCGAATAACAAAATAGCAAAGAAAAAGAAGGCCAAAACAAATTTTGTTGCGCATTTTTTTCTAATAAAATTTCAAAAAAAATTATTTTGTAAACATCATACAAAATTTCATTTATGTTTATGGTATTAAAGTCGAAGATAGCTAAGATCCCAGAAAAATAGGGTCCCACACACATAGGGTCACACCTTAGGGTAACGGTTAATTTTTCATTAAAGAGGGATTATATGAAGGGATATATGAAGGGAGATAAACTTTAAAGAAATTAAATTAAAAAAATGAATAAATAAATTTATTTTATAATTACTTAAATAATAGAAGGAATGGCTCGCAAGCCTAGATAAATTTAAAGTCCCTCCTCTTAACTGCCCTTTTTTGGCTTAACCAATGATCTTTAAACCAAGAATTAAGAAAATTTAAAATTGAATTTTCTAAAATTCGAATGACAGAAAAATCAAGACAAAATATCACCTTTAAATAAAATAAAAAATATTAAGTAAAGTAAAAAAATTTGTTTCAAAATTTTATATATCAATAGAAATAAAAGGGGGGGGGGTGTAATTCTTGGGTTCGTACCCCCACCCCCTCCTTTTTTCTTCCTCAAAGTATTAAAAATGGTCAGTCAGTCCTAGGTTATAGAACTCTTCGAGCTGATTCGAATGACAACAAAATCAACGTAATTGAACCAGATTTGACAAAGTTATGACATAAAGTAATCCAATCGCAGTCGGTGAGACGCTGTACAAAAACCTGCCCTTTGCGCAGGTTTTTTGTCTGTATCTCGGTCCAAAGTTAAGACCGGGGATTGATTTTGGTGTCATTCGACACAGCTCGATGAGTTCTATAACCTAAGACTGACTGACCATTTTTTAATACTTTGAGGAAGGAAAAAGGAGGGGGGAGTTGTATGAACGTAAGAATTAAGGCTAGGGTTAGGCTAATCAACACATTCAAACACATGTTTTTTAGTCCGAAAAATGTATGGAGATAAAATATCACTATAAAAGTACTCAAAATGGTCCACTTTTGCATTTTTTAACGGATTTCAGACCCCTAAAAATCGAAAACCTTAGTGGGACAAGCTGATTTTTGGGGTCAAAAATTAGAATATACAAATATAGCTCATTCGCAGGGCTCGACGAGCAGAGTTGAATGATACCAAAATTAACGAAATCTCCCATTTTCAACGAAAACTCCCATTTCAATTTGTAATAATTATTTTAAATAAAAATGAATGAAATAATAAGATTATTTTCGAGTTTGGTTATAGGCTTGCTTATTAAGCTTGTAAGCTTGTCTATATTTCTGTTACTTCTAATATATGACATTTTTAAACAATTATTTATTTTATTTTCTCTATTCTTCCAACTTTTTTATTTCTATTCTTTTTTAAATTTTATTTAAAGGTGATATTCTGTCTTGATTTTTATGTCATTCGAATTTTAGAAAATTCATTTTTAAATTTTCTTAATTCTTGGTTTATAGATCATTGGTTAAGCCAAAAAAGGGCAGTTAAGAGGAGAGACTTTAAATTAATCTAGGCGTGCGAGCCATTCCTTCTATTATTTAAGTAATTATAAAATAAATTTATTTATTCATTTTTTAAATTTAATTTTTTTTAAATTTATATATTTTTACAAGCAGTTATCTTCCTTCATATAATCCCTCTTTAATAAAAAATTAACCGTTACTCTAAAGCAAATTGTGGGAGACAATTTGGATATAGTTTAGTATACCGGAGTTTTAGTTTCGATATAAGCCCCATACCCTTCGATTCGTCTCGGCGAGCTGAGTCGAACGGTACCACTCTCCAGGCGCGGAAATGCCTGTGGGCCGAGATATAGGTCCTCGAAAATCGAAAAATCATAGGGGGGAGTAAGCAAAATTTTGGGGTGAAAAATTCGATTTTTAGAGTGATAGCTCAT